TTGATAGTCCTACTTTCAGTTCTCTCTTATATGGCTTTACTTCTTCAGATGAACAAATGCATGCTGGCCCAAGAAGAAACGATACAACATAGATAGGTGAACAATAAAGTAAAAAAAAAAAGGTCTGGATGGAGTGGGTTCTAGAGAGATGCAAATCCCAACATCTGGTCTACTAACAGACTATAGAAATTAACAAAAGTTATCGAACTAAACCAACAATGGAAGATTGAACTTTCTAGGACATGATACTCTAGAAAGTAGCATATTTCCTGAATATATAGTGCACCTGAATCTTTCATATATTTTACTATCTTTGTAGGTGCCTGAATGCACTTTAAGAGCTCTGTTGATAGAGGAAAACATACAACACTTCTGTCCCCTACAGCTACTACTGCATTGATTTTATCTTCCCTTTAGAAGTCCATCCCCAGTCTCTATCTCTGCCTTTCCTAATCCCCCTACTCATATGCAATTTCCATACCTAGCTTTACCAATCAATCCATTTAAAGGATTGATTTAAAGGCAAGGCCTTTCTCACTTCACCCCTTCTGGAAGGAGTTTTGCAGATGTTAACAAGTAAATGCTCTGGGCTCTCAAAACTTTTCTTCCCATGACATCCACAGAAAAAACATGCAGGCCTGCAGACGAGTAGGACACTGATGACCACGCTACTAAGCTGACTAACATTATCCAGCAGCCTCTCTGCACTGCATAGTGCAGAAATCACTATAGGGTGATCACTGTCTCGTTGCATGCTTCAGCTGTATTTAAGGAAGAACTGCACGTTCTCTCATTTATCCTTCCATATTCATGACACATCAAACACACTGGTGGCCAAATGCCATTTGGCTGCCTCCTGCTTGGTTTCAGTAGCAGCAGAAAATTAATGGCCTTGCTAAACTGTCTTCAACCCCAGAACTGGAATTGGCTGGTGGCCCTCAATCCCGTATCTTGAAGCAAAGAACCTTTTCTCCCTTTTAAGATTTTTTTTTTTTTTTTTTAATTAAAATTCCTTTCATCTGCCTCATCCCACTTATAACTTTAATCAAAGACACACGAAGTAAGATTCAAAGTAAGATATGCTCTACAGCATCTACAATATCTACACAGCTTTTATTCAAATGCTTCATGTAATAAAACATTTTTTGCTAAATTTGTGCTGAAAAGCAGCACAACCAAATATAAGACAAAAAAAATTGAAGACATTAAAGCTTTTCTGAAGCCTACACTACTTTAGGTAGATACACAGACACCAGATGTGGACTTGGGAAGCAAGTTCACTCTTCCATCCAGTAGCCAAGAAGAAAGCTGTTATCACCAAGACAAATGGGTTCTGCTTTCACCAAGCTGCAGCAGAGCAGGTTGCCCTTCCCCTTCCATATTTCCCATCTGTTTTGTTTTTTTTTCCCATCCCATCAAATTCCTCAGAAACAACCCATGCCTCTGCACTTGTCAGGAATGAAGCATTATAGGAATATTTGCTGAATAGGAAGACATGCTGATCATCTGTTAGATCATCCTGGGTAAGCGAAATTTGCACAGCAATCTTTTTATTTCCATCCTAAAAACCATTCCTCTTCATCTCTCTTAAAAGAGAACCTAATCATGAGTACTGAAAAGATTTTGTAGTTAATGCTTTAATTTTATCCACCACCACATTCTTTTTTAGGTGCAACTTGTGACTCTGAAATTCATAATTGCTACTTCACTGCACACGTGGTAAGTATGAAAGCTCATGACAACACGAACTGTTGTTTGGATGCAGAGCACGTGCTGCAACTCCTCTCAGAAGCCACATAGGAAGCTCTTTACTGTTAGCATTGCAGATCCTGGACATCTTTTCCCAGAGCAGGAACATCAGATGACAGTTAGGACTTGAGTCAGTTCAATTGAATCTCCTAAAGAACTGAAATCAGTAGAAACCAAACACAAACTTCACCAGATGACCAATGATTTGAAAAAAAGCAAAGTGAGTAAAACTAGCGCAATGATTTAGAGACTATCATAATTTTTGCATATTTAGGCAAAGTTATACAAATTTGTTCCAGAGGAGCTACAGGAACAAACGTATAAGAAATTTAATTATTTAGCTTATGACTCACTGAGAGGAGTCCTATGTGCACTGCTTCTTTCGGGACTACCATATCCTTAGATCTGGTCACCATGGACCAACGAAGTTGAAGCACGTTGTTTAAAAAGAAAAAACTTAGAACAGAAATTGATGGAAGCATGCACTCAAGCACCCTACCATATGCAAAGGATTTCATACTATAATTCTACAAAATCTGAGCTATGTGATTTAGAACTTCCTCAAGTAGATTTTTGTAGAAATAAGGACTCTTTCACACAGAGAATATCTGATTTGAGTTTCAGAACTCTCCAGTACTCAAGTTTGACTATCTATAGTACTGTTAAGTTTTCTGACTTGTCAGACTATTATTAATTATTCATTATATTCTAGTCTGATAACTATGTTAAGAAAAAGAGACACCTTTGGTCTGAATAGCATGAGATGTCATTAAGAAGCTTAGGGAACACACCTTCTTCCAATCTCCAGAAGAAATATCGATGGGCATTTTTAAAGCTCCACATTACCTGTTAGTAGATAACATAACAGGTAACATTTCAAAAGTGGTAGATTTCTCTACCCCACAACCTTTCTTAGCAGCAGAACAAGTTACTGTAGAATAAAAGCTTATTTTACATGGCAAAACAGAAGTTCTCTTGCTCTAGAAGCACCATGCAAATATTTGTTTACCCATCTAATTCATTTCATAGAAGACCGTATAATCAATGAATATTAAGATGTTATAATTAATAAATAAACAGAGTTAGGCAAAGTAGGTTATGATAACAAAAAGAGAATAGATAGAAAGCTTACCCACATCCTGGGCTCGCATATGCAACTCCAGCAGAGTGGATCTCCAGAAGAGATCCTCCCCCACCGCTAGTCAGCTCTTAAATGAGGAGAGGTGCAGCCAGGCTCCACCCCGTCCGGCAGCACAGGTGAACTGCCTTCACCTGTGCTCCATGGCTGACTCATTGCTCATCAATCAGAGGTTCAGGCCATGATACAGCAGTTCCCATACAAAGGCACATTTTGAGAAAGCACAGTAATTCTGCAAGTGAGAAAACCATCAGAGCTGTACATTACAATATTGTACATTACAATATCAAGTCAGGATGGAACTGAAAGAATGTTGCAGTTGGCACTGTTCAGGATTAGCCTCCCCACCCCCAAATAAGGACAAAAAATTAATCCCAGAGTGATAATTATTTCAACATAAGTGATATTTAACAAGGGAAAACAGAGGAAAGCGTGCTTCAGATGTATGGATTTCAAGGAGATCAGAACTAAGTGTCATCAGGGGAAACAGAAGCAACTTTAGCTATCGATGAAGGTCATCAGATCAGCTTAAGAATAATGAAAATAAGAGTCTAACACTTGTGCAGAATAACACTTAAGATGCAATTCCTCTCTAATTGGCTACATTTAATCTTCTGGCTGGCTGGAAGGCCAAGACTAAGAAATATACTGCCTTCAAGAATGTGAAAGATTGAAGACTCACGTATACGTTAAGTGTCTCTCTTCATTTTCACACGCACCACCTCAAACATTACCAAAAAAAAAAAAAGGTAAAAAATTCTGAAATTAGCACTCACTTATCTTTATCTGATCACAAACAGAACTAGAAGAGCACAGTACTACACAAGCATTTCCATTAGCCCAAGGCATTATATGCACTTTGTAGTCATTAGTCTTACATGCTACTGGCTTGTCCCACAGCTTAACAAAGAGTCATTATCCCATTTTATAATAAAAAGACATTAAGGACACAGACATTTCACATCTTCAAAAAAGTGACAAAGACATGAAAGACATAGCCTGTAGTAACTTCAACACAACACAGTCAACAAGTATTAATCAACTTATTTATTTGTACAGCTGACTGGTACACCTAGCCAACTTTACAATAACAAAAGAAATTAAAAAAACAAATAGTTCAAGATCCAACTCCTGTTTCAAAAGAACAAAGAGTTAAAAGTACGAAAACAAAGCTTATGTTTTTTCCAAGCTATTTTACTTCTCCTCCTCCCCCAGGTAACAAAATTAAATTAACAGAAAGCATGTGCTAAATCTCGCAAACAGATCTCTTCCAGTAGAAAGTTTCACCTCACTCTATATAGTGCCATTTACCTAGAAGCATACAGAAATTTCAACTTCGTGGAAATTAAATGTATTAGTCTTAAAACTCTTTTAAATTCCAAAGAGCTATATAGAGGAAAAAAAACTAGAATGTGTTTTCAGTTTCCTTTGGTGGAGTTATTTGGATAGGAGACACAGGATAATCTGCCCTCAGCAGCAGCACCACACCTCAAGGTGTTTCTGCAGACTTTCCTATTGCCTATTCTCATCATACTGCAAGGATCCTAATTATAAACATCCACAACTGAAGGGACCAATGAGAAACTTAGAACTTCTTAAGGCAGCATGGAACTAGAAGGCAAGGAACAAGAAACGACAGCAGGGCATAGTTTCTGATGCAACTCGTGCAGAGTTGCCGAGCTCAGTGTATTCCCCCCCACCCTGCTCCCCCCACAGCCCAAAGCCAGGCCAAGCCCAAATCAATCATTCCTCAAATAAAGAGCGTATCCACATAAATACAAGCACTGAAGGCTGAAAGAATCCAACCATCCTTCAACTTTAAAAGTACAGTTTATTTTTTTAAGCACTGAGTTAACAGTCTGTGAAGAAGGTAGCTTGATTGATATAGAGTAGAGCAAAGCAACCCCTTAGAAGCTGTCCTACTGCTTAGCTTCCCTTTAGCTCCTAAGCTACAATAGGTAAACAGACATTCTATGACCTTATCTAGAGTCGAAGCCTTTCCAGCACCGTCATCCATACTCAGCGTATCAGTTCATTCCCAACTCAGTCACAAGACCCAAACAGGGCCCAGACAAAGCCCCGCTAACTCCCATTTTCCCTCATTAAAGCTTACGCTTGCTCAGCCACGAAAAACAAGTCCCCGCGCCCTCAGTCAGCAACAGCGAGTCGTGCAAGAACCGCTCAGAAACAACTGCGGTGCCGCAGGAAGAGCCCGCCCCGCGGTGCCGTTACTTGGCGGAGCCCTGCAGCCGTTCCGCCGAGTGACGCACCGCGCTGAACGGCTCACAGCCCCATACCGCAGCCCAGCCGGTACCCTTCTTGCCGCCACCGGGCCCCGAGGCCCCTCCCCCAAAATAAGCTTTTATTATTCTACGCAGCCGTCCCGCCGCGAGCACGCCGAACGACTGCACACCGATCCAGCGAGCAGCTCGGGGTTGAGGAAAGTGCCGCTGCCACCCGCACCGCCCGCCCCTCCGACAGCTAGGAAACCCGTCGGGAAGAAACGGAGGCGCCAGGGCGCTGAAAGTCTCCCCAGGCGCTGCCTAACGCTGGCGGACTGCCAAGCCGCAGAGCTGCCCGTCGGCCTCCAACCCCCGCCCGCCACCTCCCTCACGCACTCACCACTGACACCGCCTCAACCGCTCCCCAGCCCTGCCCTGCTCCCAGCAACCTCTGCGCGCCGCTCTTACTGGCGAGCTCGCGACAAAATCACGCGAGAGTCACCCACGGCGCAGCTGTTATCACGTGACGCTTCTAGCCCTATCCCCGTACGTCTGCTAAACCTCGCATCACTCTGGAAACACCACGGGCTTTTCGCCTGGCCCGCCGCTGCTGAAGGGCACCCCCTGGAGGCCCCGCTGGCGGTTCCGAAGAGTAAGGCCGCACACCTCCGATGAAATCTCGCCCTTCCCCGCCCCAGGTCTCGCGAGGTTCTCCCGCTCTTCCTCCCCCCTCCCCAAGCACGATGCAGCGCAGGAATGTGAAAGGCTCCCGCCCGCCGCCATTTTCTTTCTTTCTTGGCAGGCAGCGAGCGGGGCAGGAAGCGGTGGTGGAGCGAGTATGGCGGACTATTCCACGGTGCCTCCTCCTGCTTCAGGCGCACCCGGGGGAGGCGGCGGTGGAGGTGGAGGAGTGAACGATGCCTTTAAAGACGCGCTGCAGAGAGCTAGGCAGGTGCGTGAGGAATGCGGCTCTGCAAATCAATGGGCGCCCAGGGCAGCTCCCGGCCGGGCCTCGGCGCCTGAGTTCGGGGGGGGGAGGCGGTGAGGAGAGGCCCTCCGCCAGCTCCTCGGCGCGGTGGGGGGTTGGGGGAGCGGCGTCGTCCCGTGTCCACACCTCCCTCCGCGCTGCCGGTCCGCCTTACTCGGGGCGGCGAAAGGTTTCCCGGTCAGTCTCCAGCTGCCTCCGCTCCGCCATTGCTCACGGGGCTCCGCGCCGCCGCAGGGCCTGAGGGGAGGCGAAATCTCGGCGGGCGCGGCGCCTTATCGCGGCCCGGGCTCGGCGCGGGAGGGCGGCTCCGCGCTCGGCCCCGTATTGTGTCCCCCGAGGCGCCCGCGCTGCCCGCCGACCTGCTCGGACCGGTTGGGAAAGCGCGGACTGAGGGCTGCGATTCGGAAATTGTTCAGCCCGAAGTTCCCTTTGTAGTTGTTGCGCTACGGGCGATGCTTTCATGATTTGTCGGGCAAAATTTTCGCCTCGTCCGGTAATAACTGATCGCGGTTTGGGCGACGTTTGAAGAGCTGGCGTAGTCGGGACTGGCTCCGGCAGTCGAGCTCTCCGACGTGCCGCAGTGTTTCTTGAAGAACGGGCAGGAAAGGAAAAGCCCCATTTAGGAGAACAAAGAGAGAAAAAGTTTTTATTATTTGAAGAGTAGGGGTTGTTTAACCGATTAAGTGCTTTGGCGTTAAAGGATGACCGCGGTCTCCTGGAATACACAAAAAAATTAACCTCTCTTTTTAGCAGCAGCTTTCCATTTACTTGTTTTGGGTCGTTGTAGTTTGTATCATTTAAAGAGCTTAACGTTGTTCGGAAGACCTGCTTGTTGTTAATTGTTACTTTTTCCTTCACGTCTGCCTTTTGTTTAGATTGCAGCAAAAATTGGAGGAGATGCTGGTACATCCATGAATTCCAATGACTACGGTTATGGAGGACAAAAAAGACCTCTTGAGGATGGAGGTATGCGCTCCTTAGTGCTGCATTTATTTTTGCTCAGTGTGGCCAGGGTGCCAAAAAGATTTCAGGTGCTGTTTTTTGTTTTGGTTTCCGTAGCACAGTAGAAAAGCATTTTGTTCCCTTTATAGATCATGACATACTTTTTCATTTTCAGTTCAATGGGGAAACTTATTTTAAACCACATAAGCCTGCTTTAAAATACTGTAAAGTGTGGCATAAAAACTATCGAAAAAAATGCGTGCTGGGGGGGGGGGGCAGACAATTTTGTGGCTGAGAAACACTTGTTACAGGTATGTCATTGAAGTCTTCTGTTTCTTACATCTGACAGATTACAGTTTCCGAATGATAATTAGAATGAGAAGTGGCCATTCTTTGGCTTGTTTCATATACTTTATTATCACATAGGTTCAATTAATAATATTAATGAATTTTATTGTAAAAGCATAGGACTTTAAAAAAAGACAGGAAGGTAAATTTTCTACTTTGTTGACATTTTCACTTAGTCTAATATTAAGGTATATGATATATACAAGATCATAGTTAAGTCTCCTAGTTTGTTGCAGATTTTTGATTTCCTTTATACTGTAATAAAGATTTCTCCTGAAGTGTGTGTGTGTGTCCTCTTCTGTCTCTTACTAAGCAGCCAGTTTTAACTGAACAGGGTTTGATATGTTTAGTATACTCACAAAATCCTGGCTAAAATATGGGAAGAAATCTCTGAACTTGTTGAAATGTTCTCATAGGTCTTACAAAAGGGCAATGCTTTTTTTTTTTTTTTTTTCCTTTGAGAGGATTGAAGCTCAGTCTACAGAATGTAACTAAGGCTTTATATCAGGAGTTCTTGTGTCCTGTAATAAAGTTTTTTTTCTATTGATGGTGAGGTTTTTAATATACAAAAATGAGCTAATGATGCTTCAGATGATATATGTAATGTATTCTTTTTATTTTATGTGTAGATGGCTCTTGGACAAGTCCGAGCAGTACAACACACTGGGAGGGAATGCCCTCTCCTTTTAAAGGCAGGAATTTTTATTTATTACCTGTGTTTAGTATGTAAACATGACATAAACTAGTGGATCTTTCTGGATAGACACAAATATTTCTTGGAATATGTGTCTTGAATTTTTGCTGCACATAAATTATGGTGGTTCATATAACCTATATTTTGGGGTGGGAAGGAAGCATCTGAAGTCTATCCTTTCAGATAAAGGTTAATTATGCCTTTTATTCCTTTACTGTACAGCAAGGATTTGGATGGTAGTGATGTAGTTGCTTTGAATCTGCTTTTTTTATTATTTTTGAAGTTTTATGCTATGAAATGCTTGATATTTGGATAGGAGTTTTGTTCCAACATCCAGGTTGAGATTGCATTGCTATGTGATACTGTTATGTTTTCAAATGTTTGATCTAGGCTTGTAGTCATTGTCAGAATTTTTTTTCTTTGAAATTGTTGTTAGTTTTTGTATGGATTTTTTTTTAAACTATAGAAGCATCATTAGCTTGAGCAACCGATGGACCTAAACTTTGTTCCTTGTCTTAGTTAAGTTTCAGTGACTGGGTATCTGAGTGATCTACTGTGTGTTCTAAAAACTCCACCTTTTGTTTAACTACTGAATAGATACACAGAAAAACCTAACATCTTTTCAGCTGTACTAACCAAGTGCTGAGTGCTCGTGAGATTCTTTCTTCTATTCAGATGATCAACTCCCTGAAATTGGAGAAAAATAAAAAAGGAAAAATAAAAGGGGGACTAAAATACACTGGAAAGTTGCACTTCACACTAAAAGGTGTTAACAGTTCTTGAATTTCTTGGCAAAATATTTAAAAAATCTTAATTTTGCAGATCAACCAGATGCTAAGAAAGTTGCTCCTCAGAATGACTGTAAGTAACTTTTATTTTGTTAGAAAAAAAAAAATCCTAAACAAGTGTAGTATTTCCAGAATGACAGTTTCAAACTGTGTTCTGGTAGGTGCTACTTTAGTCAGTGAGATCAAAAGAATGGCTGGGGGGTTATGTCTTCCTTCTTTGAAGCTGTGCAAATCTGCTTGGTAAAACTGAAATGGATATGTTAGCAACAATTGAGAATGTTTTTGTTACATTTTTAAGCTTCTTGATAAGACTTCTTAAAAAGTCAGTTTGGACAGACGCCTGTGCAGATGGATTTTATCGAACAGAAAGCTGTAAAATATAGCATTTTCTTGAATTTAATTTTCAAAACTTGCTTTATAGCTTTTGGAAATCAGTTACCACCAATGCACCAACAACAAAGGTAAGAGTTAATGCTACATCTTATGTGAAGTTTTCCACTGTACTGAAAGAAAGCAGTTTCAAGAAATTCCTTTGGAAAAGTGATTTCGATGCATAAACAGTTACTCCGTGTTTGTGTCATACATTGAAATTTAGCTGCAGCAATCCCACTCCAAACCTTTAAAATACATCTGGTAATATCTTTTCTTGGCAGCCAATGCTGTGCATCAAAAATAGTAGGAGGAAAATGAATTGCTTTTCCTTAGTAATGTTACCAGAAGTTGGAAATAGATCTAAAGGGAAAGGAGCTTGGTGCTGTCTTAGTAATAGATTTAAAAAATAAATGGGGGTAGAGATAACACAGCTTATCATTCAATCAGCTACTTTTGGTACAACTTAAGTTTTTGTTACTTGTCCCTAAACAAATGCATCCAAAGTATTCTGTCCTTGTCCTCATTCATACAGATGTCATCATGTCATCATTCATACAGATGAAACTATTTTAATAATACACTGACATTTTCTGTGCTCCATGCTAGTCAACAAAGAGAATAAAGGAAATTGACTCGTGTTAAATTTGTTCTGGTCACATTTGAATATTCTTAGTTTGCTTGCCACTATGCTTGTGTGTGACTTTTAAAGTTAGTGAGGGGCATGAATGCCAAGTCAGTGGTTGGGGCACTGACTTCCTCTAGTTTAATGGGATCTTATCACTAAATTTAGTGCTTCTTTGATCTCTGTATCCTCACCGTCTGTGTTTGATTTAACCTTCTCTACAGGTCTGTGATGACGGAGGAGTACAAAGTTCCAGATGGAATGGTTGGATTCAGTAAGTAGTCTGACTATATTATTGCATT